TCGTATGAAAGGTAGTGCCAACACCTTTACATGCCTCAGTTATAACAATAGCAACACTATCACTCAACTGCGGGGACTTGAGTGATAGGTCTAGGACCACCTAAAGGGAGTAGTAGTAGGAATAGTAAGATAGTGATTCATAATATTCTTACCCCAAATGAGCCCTGTGTCCTCTCTGAAGAAGTAATAGCACTCCTACGTAGAAGATAAGCAAGACTCTCGCTAGCAAACTGCCGTATGTAACTGAGAGATGACTGTACAAGGGAGGGATGTGTTTGAGGATCTTTACGCTCTCTTATGGGATAATAACTGCTCATATTGCGATACAAAGGAGGTAAAAGTCGCAACGTCTGCCAATAGATATGATGAGAGGTATCTACCATTGGTGTGTAAGGCAGCAGGATTGGACGTATAAGTGGCTACTTGAATAGATATCCCATACATTGAAATATCCACTCCATAGCATCAGGATCCTCTAGTCTAGTCTCCAATAGCCACACTAATGTACCAAATATGGTATCCACAAAGTAGGGCATGAGCTCCCCTCTCGTATCACGGGCCAAGACCTTACACCATACATGAATACAATATGTAGTATTTACTATATTACCGGTAGCATGCCCAATAAAGGCTCTAATGCTAGGGATTTCTCCTTCCGGAGATGCTTTACGAATATGCTGCATATTTTATCCAAGTGATGGAGTATATGAGGCATTGTACGAACCTGAATGACCACCATTTAACACTACTACCGCTATGTAGAGCAAACGACCTACCAAGGGTAGCAACTCCCTCAAGGCTGCATCGAAATCAGCTGTCCTGTTCTCCAAACGCCATCTACGGCATTCTTGTAGTAAATAGGATGTATGGAGTGACTCGTCGGACAGTGTGTCCAAGTATTCGTGATTATTAGTAACAGTGGCATTGATAGTTTTAATACGTTCAGCAAACCCAGCAAATACGTGTCGATTCTGTTCCTTACGGTTAGTATTACCATTGATCTACCATAGCATGAATACACACAATAACCACACCACTTTCCCTGACCTTTCTTCGTTTAGCCTGAGTCCTCTGCAACTGTAGTTTGGTAGTGTCGGCCCCCACACTACGACGTTTGCCTGGAGGTGGCATGATGGACAGCAACTACTACACAAGCACTGATATATCCTAATGCATACTCTAGTTAACACATTCTGATATCTCCACATGCAAAGATCTTCGACTAATGGGAATCCCTCAAAAACAAGTCAAGGTCCGACGATTATATAGGTGCGTAAAGTTTTCCGGAGAGACGCGAAGTTAAAACGTTTGGTTTCGCGCAGAATCGTTTAATGAATTCTCGAATATTGGCCCGATTTGTCAGAGCTTCGTAGCATATTGCGGGTGTACTCGCTACATATTTTACCTGTATGTACTCAGATTTTAGTATTCGTACGTATTCACTCTATGGTGGAGGTAATGAATAATAATATGCTATTGCCGCTACTACCCCCGATACCTCCTACTACTAGTTCTAAGGCTGGGACTAGTAGTATACTAGGATGCTGTGGATGGGTGGATGAACGTACATACAAGG